GATTTTAGTGCAGCTTCTGACATTAATCACAGGGGTTTGACTTTTGAGTTGTAGTTTGTTTGTGTTGGTGGTAAAGTTTTAAAGTATTTTAATTGAATTTTCAACTGGTAGACAGCAACGTGTCCATGTTGATGGTAGTATTAACCCGTAATCCCGTGCGTCTTTTAGGGTTCCTCAGGGTAGTGTTCTTGCCCCTTTGCTCATTTTATATACAAGCGGCATTACTAATAAAATGTTGGCATATACTGATACTTCCATTTATGCTGATATTCTTTCTCCGACAACCAGGTAAATAGTAGTTGACAGCCTCACTGTAGATCTGATGATAATTCAATCGTGGTGCTCGTGATGTGGCATGAAATTAAATCCTACCAAGTCCAAGGAAATGAATGTGAGTCTCAACATTACACGTAGATATCTCTTTTCTCTCATTCTTTCTCATTTTGAGTACTGCTTGACCGTTCTTTTATAGTCATTAAATTTCTCCTGTCTGATTTAGATTTGGACAATGGGTATCGTAGGGATGGATATTGGGGCTCTTTCAGTTTCATGCAATATTGTAACTGATAATTCACACCCCTCTATAAGTTTTTACCCGATTTTTATCAACCAGCAAGGGTTACTACATCTCTCTCTCTCTCTCTCTCTCTCTCTCTCTCTATATATATATATATATATATATATATATATATATATATATATATATATATCTTATAATAGTTTGCCTTCAGAGATTATAACTACACCTGTTCCTGGTAAGTTTGAGTTCGGCTGTTTTTACCACATACCACATACCACATTGCATACATACTTGCATGTATACATACAAAGTGTGTATGTGTTTATATGAGTGCGCATGTGCGAGTGGACAATAAGGTAGACGTTTTCTCTTATTTACATTTATTTTTATTCATTGATAGATGATAAATTTTATCATTCCGGCCGACGAGTGTAAATCCAAACTTACATCCCTACTGTGTATAAATTCTGATATATGAACGTGCTCTTCGCTCTTCTCCTGAAACTAGGTAAGAACACTCACACACACACACACACACACAGAGAGAGAGAGAGAGAGAGAGAGAGAGAGAGAGAGAGAGAGAGAGAGAGAGAGAGAGAGAGAGAGAGAGAGAGAGAGAGAGAGAGAGAGAGAGGCAGGCTTTATCAGCCGCTAAGTGTACGGTTCATGTTGACAGAATAATTTGGGTAATAAAGTGAACGAATAATTGAAAAAATTGAGAGAGATAGTGAGGCTTTGTGAGAGCGAAGGAGAGGGAGGCGAGAAGTGACATGGTAAGCGTTTTCGCGCATGGAGACAACTGCCGTGCGTATAACTGTTTTTGTTTGTTTCATGGGTAACCATTCAGACCAGGAAAATGAAGCTAACGGAAGCAGCAGATAGAATTGAGGCTCTTGAAGCCAAGGTAGACAACCTGGTAGCAGAATGTTGGAAAATACGTGAAGAAAACGTAAATTTGAAGGAATTGGTGGATAACTTGCTCAGTAAAACAACCATTCAGAGAGAGAGAATACTGAAAAGTCTGGTATGAAAATCAAAGAATTCAAGTAAAAGGTGGAAGAAGTACAAACCAAGATTGGCAACAGTAGCCAAATCGAGGCAAAGAATCTGCAAGAAAAAGTTAATTAAGTAATCAAAGGACAGGAAACTGTTAAACATTGAAAGCAATTTGTCAAACAGCCAGTGCCAAATAATGGAAGAGGCAAAAAAGATGATAGCTACATATGCCGATGTATTTAACGTAAAGGAAACAGTAATTGAAATGGGAAAAAAAATCTCAAAGATCACAAAGGAAGAAATAAAAACACAGCTTGTAGAGACGGTAGAGAAAAATGAATTTGTCACACCTTGGGCAACAGGCAAGGAATATTGCAAATTTGGCTGATGTAAACAAGGGCACATTGGGACATGAAGATGATGAAGTTGTAGATGATGCAATCGAGCGATACAACAAACACAAGAAATTGAATGTCAATATTCTCAAGGCCATAAATCCCGAATTCTCGGAGCAGATTATCATAGCCCACAGCAGGTCGGAATTATTCGAAAAGGGAAAGAAACGCCCTTTAAAGGTGACATTCATGAATAAACAAATGGTAACTTATGTAATAAAGAAAGCTGAAGTCCTGGCCACACACGAAGAATACAAGAAAATCTTGATAAGTGAAAATAAGACCAAAGATGACGGAGAAGTACTGCAGAAAAAAATGGAAGAGGTAAAAACAAAAACGAACAAAGGACTGAAGAAAAAATCTTGTTCATTTGGAAGGTGAGAGGCCTCCAAGCAAAACAAGTTTACTCTCGGAACCAAAATGTGGAGACAGACAATCATTAATCTTGCAGCTTAAAGGAATACCGAAAAAGTATATAGAAATTGTTTATACAAATAATGATTATTTATGTTCAAAGTTACTAGGACTAGGTGCAATTACTGAAAGTAATAAACCAGATGTAATACGCATTACTGAATCCAAATTGGATCCCTCCGTAGACGATATAACAATATTTGGAGAAAAGATCGGCAAATGGATATGGAAGGGGGGGGGGGTAGCAATATTAACAAGGAAAGGAATGATTATAAAGGAGATAAAGATTCAGCAAGATCCCATAGTAGAACTAAAGATAATTGAGGTAGAAACAAACGGGGTAAATATACTAATAACTACTATGTACATGCCACCTCATACATCGGTGTGGTCACAAGAAAAATATCAAAAACTTATTCAAGAAACGTTAAAGAGCCTGGAAGAAGTGCTACAACTTTCGGCAACTAATGCAAAAGAAGTTCTAGTAACAGGGGATTTTAATAGCAAAATTGACTGGGAAAGTTTCGATCCCAAAGCTCGGTCAGCTTCGTGGAATGCAAAATTACTTGAAGTCATACATGAAATTTGTCTCTTCCAGAATATAACAGATTATACCAGGATAAGAGGGCTACATAGACCGTCTATGCTTGACTTAATATTTATAAAGATGGCATTAAGGATTCGGAGTACTGCCCTACACGCCCTCATGTAGTAAGTTGAAATACTGTATGATACAGAAAAAAAACAACAACATCGCAAGGAAGTACGAATACAAGTGAGGTAATTATAGAAGCCTTAGAGATTTCTTTGATGGCATAAACTGGAAACCCTCCTGGACGAAAAGAACCTTGATATGCAATATTCTAAATTTTGATGTATATAAACAAGGAGTAAAAAAAAAAAAATGTATCAAGATTCAAAACTGAAGCATGAAATGGCCAGAAGTGGTTCAATGATAAATGCAAAAAAATGAGAGAAAACAACCACTCCTTTGGAGAGGGTTCAGAAGACATAGATCTCAGGAGCGCGTGGAAGGTATAAAGTAGGAAGAAATGAGTATACCCAAACTATGCGGGAAGCGAAATTATACTTTGAAAAGGATATAATCAATAAATGTACAAACCAACCAACGCTCTTCTCTAACTACATAAATAGTAAGACTAAAAGTAGAGATCAAATTAGCGCCATCAAAAAAAAAAAAAAAAAAAAAAAAAAGTTTTTACTAAGGAAGAGGAAATGTGGGAAATCCTCAATGAATTAATGTTTATTCAGGACACATACTTTAAAATGTCAAGTAACCGTACAAACGTAAATATCACATTCGGAAAGAATAAAATAAAAGACCTACAGAAAGGGTTAGACAAGACTAAAGCAGAAGGACCAGATGATATAAGAATGCGTTGTTGGCATGACTACATAGCATTTATTGGTGTACCAATACAAGTTAGGAGACGTAATATTAAACCAAGTAAGTAAAGAAAAAAGACATTGGAATAATCATAAACAGGAACCTAAGCGCAAATGATCGTATAAATGACAAGGTTCATAAAATGCTAGGAATGATTGCCAACATGAAGAGGGCATTCATGTAAGTGGACGAAGACACATTATGAAGGTCATGACAGTCATCATAAGACCGAGTCTTGGGTATAGTGCAGTGGTATGGAGTCCACACTTAAAATAGGATATAGATAAATTAGAAAGACTTAAAAGAGCAGCCACAAGATGGGCACCTACTCTAAGGGATTAGAGCTACAAAGACTACAGAAAATAGGTCTTACTGCTGTGGAAGAAAGAAGAGGGGTGACATTACATGAAGGCTGAAGTTAGACAAAGATGACTTTACAGTTTTGAACACAAGAAGGAAAAGAGAAAAGAGCAAAAATTTGAAAGTAAAGAGGGGCGAGAAAGGTTTCCCAAGAAGAACTTTTGAAACAGTCTTCCAAATAACGTCGTGTACCAAAAAATATAGCAGATCATCTTAGCTTCGCTCTCCTGAAACAACTAGGTAAGAACACACACACACACACACACACACACACACACACACACACACACACACACACACACACACACACACACACACACACACACACACACACACACACACATACACACACACACATACACACACACACACACACACACACACACACACACACACACACACACACACACACACACACACACACACACACACACACACACACACACACATATACATACATATATATATATATATATATATATATATATATATATATATATATATATATATATATGCATATATATACGTGCGAACGCACTCACACGCACAAAATGATATACACATGCGGATGCATGCACGCACGCAGACACATGCAAGCGCACACGTAAGCGCAGACAAATGCCTTGCCTCATGCTCCAAAGCAGCTGTCAGAAAGTGCTATAATGGATAATACGTGGCATTCCATGTTTTCTTATTGATCGTCTAGTTAATATACGATTGGAATATGAATTTAATTAATGTGATGTCTTTTTTTCTTATCGCCAAATTCATATCTTCAAATATTCTTTTTATCAGCATTATTTGGAACGAATCTAAAGCAATGTGACAATACAGTTCCTGATTCAAATTACAATTAATCTACATATTGCTTTACTTTGGGATTGGCTTCCTATCGTGTGTATGGCTGAACTATAACGGAAGGAAATGTAATATTTGCCTTATTTTGGCGTCGGAGAAGACCTATTTCGTATGACAATATTTTATCAAGCAACTACGAAGTTTGAGAGATTGTGTAAACGATTTCAGCCTTTAAATAAGTGTTAAGGAAAGTGGTATGAAATAGAAAATAGTTCAGCCGCCAGCGCGAGATTCGCAGCGGCAACGAGCAGAAGCTGTCGTGTCGGTCGTCGTTCATCGCTTTGTTCATCTCTTGCTGCCCGGCGTCCCCCCCCGTGCTGGGCATCACTGGGCATTCGCTGCGCCTGGAGCTTATGAGGCCAAGGAGGACGGATGGTAATGACAAGCAGTGCTTTGGCTCTGCGAGGAATGCGGTTGTTGTTTGTGTTGGTGGGTGATTCCATGCCCCCCCTCCCCCCCGGGCAGCCTCACTCTTGTCTCTGGCTCTAAGGCACGGCTCCCTTCACCCCTTGGGGCCTGTCCTCTCTCGAAGGGAAGGCTGGGCAGGCAAGGCGCAGCGGGTGTCGTGGCATCTCCCAACAGGCGATTGAGGCCTGAGTGTCAGAGTCAGTATCAGCGTCAGAGCTGGCCTTTTGACATGACGTGATGGTATGTGGCTACACTCAGCCCGGGCTAATTGTTTTTATTTCTCATTTGGCACATTTAAAGCCTTCATTGAAGAGTCGCAAATTTATTAAAGCAGGAATTCATTTGGGAAAACTTACTAAGAGTCATTGAAGCCTGTATTGTCCATCAGGGGATCAGCCTGAAGGCCTCAGTATTGATTAAATGTTTGTATAAAGTTTTGACAGCATTATGTTTTATGGTATCTGGCTAAAGTTCAAAATGAAATTTATAGAATGATTTATCAGGTTCAAGTCACTTCTGAAGAGCCTTGATTTTCAAGTCTATGTTTAATTTACACAAATTGACACACAAGCACAATTAAGATAAAATGAATATTTGGAAGATATCTGAAGTGCATTTTTCTTGTCATGTTGAATGTGTCCATTGTAAAGGTCCTGTCACTTCAGCACTTTTTTAATTTTTACCCTTACGTGCGAACTTTCTTCATGCAAAAGGCCCACCCAGTCACGCTGGCAGAGTACTGTTGCCTCCATTTAAACATGTAAGGCCCTAGAAGTCACACATGAGCATCCTGAAACATTCTTTCTAATAGATATATTATGTAATAGAGACTACTATATTGCAAACAGATACATTCTGTGTAGACTATGTTTTACACCAACTATTCTGTTAATCTGTAAAAATAATCCAGTGGTCTGAAACCCAAAGTCAAGATACAAACCAGTTTATTGAAAATAGCAGTTATCTTCCATTGAGAGCCATTCCACATGCATGTGGTGTACATGGAATGCCTCAAATTCATGGAAATGTAAAAATTTATGAAAATTTGTTTGTATGGTAGGGCCTTAAAGTTTATTTGAAATTCGATGTCATCTGTGGTGGAAGGCTGTTAATATTAATTCCAGTTTATTAGTGTGAGATATCCAGGAGTCAACATGGTTTGTATGCTACATATTTTGACAACTAGGATATATTTTCAGGCAGAAGAGTTTTAGCAGATTCTTTATTTGATGCTAAATTTCTGGGAAGTTCCACAGGTCTAAATATGCTGAATAGTATAGTTGTTTTTTTTTATAACCATTATAGGTGACTGCAGTTGGCCAAGTGGGCTTCGACTATGAGTGGCACTTTCTGCAATCTTTTTCCTTTATTTTTGGTGTTACAGTTCATGTCTGCCAATTATTTCTTGTACCAGTAACAACTTTTTGTCCACAATAAGAATATCATCTTCAATTTGCCCAAGCTTGATGCATCTGTACTGTATAGATTAACCTATGAGAATAATGTGAAAACTAAAAATAATTTTTATTATCATTTTATTATTAAATTACCTATGAGAATAATGTGAATACTAAAGATGATTTAGATTATCATTTTGTCATTATATTACCTTTTGTTAAATTACCTCCCGTGGTTTTCATGTTGGCAATTGCAATATCTTATAGCAGTTGACTAAACAGCATTAAACACAGTAAGTAAAACATAATTATATTTAAACCATTGGATTTGGGTACCTCATGCATGCATGTGGCCCAAAGTCTGGACGTAAGGTTTACTAGAGTGACAGTTCTCCCGGCAATATGAACACTCGTATAGGGTGTCAAGACTCTTGCCTCCCCTTTGCATTTTTTTTTTTTTTTTTCTTCATCTTCTTCTTCGTCTTCTTCCTCCCAAACATTTCTTACTTTTTTAATATTTCCCAAGGTCCGTAGATATCATTCGATATATTGTATCAAGATGGTAATTGACTGTGTTCCTTGCACAGACTGCATATCATCTCTCTTGGTAGACTACAATTCTATGTAATAGAAATAATAGTAAGAAACAGTGCGTTAGTCTTATAATTTGTTTATATTTTGGTATTATTATATATTTTTTTAATACACTCTGCATCACCAGGAAATGGTGTCCTCCCTGGAGCCAGCCATGGCTAACAGATAATAGCTTCCACCCTCATTTACAAGTAATGGAAGTGCCTTCCTAAATGCCAGCTGAGTCTAATCATACTCTAAGGGCTTTGTGAACTGTAACCCCAGCTATTAGCCAAATTTTGTGTGATGGTATCTTCCATTCACATCGCCCACAGCCAGATTTTTTCAGGACATGACAATCATGTCACCCACCTGCAACGGTTTTCAGGACAGGATGTTTTCCTGTTTGGTTCTGTTAAAATCCAATTAGTTTCATAGTAGCAAAGGCCAGCAAACCTCTACCATATATGTCTTGGCCAAATAGAATTAGAATTTGTTCTTAATTTGATGATAAATTGCTGAAGTACATATTGCACATTAGCTGAGTGCCAACAGGCTTGAAGTATATAGCAACTAGACTACATGGTATGTCCTTCAGGTGCCTTGATTAATCATTCTTTGTAAATTTCTTCTAAATCAATAGCAAGATCAGTATAGTATTATGGCACAGTCAGTTTCACACACTGACCCAATTTTTGGCACTATAGTGCATTGCCAAATATGCTTATTTATGGCATTTACTCTTTGGCTTTGATAGCATAGTATACTTCAGCCGAGAATGCACTTGAATAGTTCAAGACATTTACATATCTACTACTTCTCCTTCCTCTACTCCTTACCCCTTCCCTCCCTCATATATATACATATAAATATATATATATATATATATATATATATATATATATATATATATATATAATATATATATAATATATAATATAGAAATATATATAATATATATATATAGAAATATATAATATATAATATAGAAATATATATATATATAGAAATATATATATATATATAGAAATATATATATATATATATAGAAATATATATATATAGAAATATATATATATAAATATATATGTATATAGATAAGTATTCATGTAAGTATATGTGTGTGTGTGTATATATATATATATATATATATATATATATATATATATATATATATATATATATATATATATATATATATATAAATTATATATATACATAATCATATAATTAACACATTGCCGCTGGGGATGGCATATATGTACATGCCATGCCCACTGTGAGTCGACTTGTTTGATTGATTTTACACACCCTTTCACCCTTTTCATCGATTTACAAAAATATTTAATGTTATCCTAATTTGCTGTTAAAAATAACACCATCTATAATTATAGCACTAGTAAGAATACGTTTTTTCCCGCCAATTCAAGGAAAGGTGAAATCAGGACTAGCAGAGCCATCTATGTACAGAGATATTTCACAAAAATATAAAAAATTAATACAGCATTTTCCCCTTTTTTTATTGATTTTCCCCGGCGGCAATGGGTTAGATATATATACGATTTTATATATATATATAATTACATTATATATATATATATATATATATATATATATATATATATATATATATATATATATATTCCTTCTAACTCAGTTTGCATAGTGCTAACCTAGTCATGGACTATGCTGCAGTACTTGTGTTGCAAAATATTCCTTCTGCAACCATCTGGCCTTTTGGCTGGGTAGTCCACTACATATAGCAAAACCTACCACCCGAGTCGGTTTAGTGAGCCTGCAGCCATACCTATCATGATGAGTTACTTTTTCATGATGGCTTTAGGTGTGCCCGGCTATAAGAGGTGAAGTTCCTTTCTCATGTTCCTTGTGGTTTTAGGGGAACCAAGAATTAGTTCTAAATTTTTCATTGGTGTGTTTTTCTCCTGGACATCATTTCAAGGAATTTAGCTATTATCTGTCATTGAGAACAATGTCACTTTTTTCTTGTATATTTTTCCAGATCATAGGTTTTCTTCAAGCATGTATCACTCCAGACTTTGATCTAAAGTAATACTTGCATATAGAAAATGCTTGGGCAAGTTGTAAGATCTTTATTATTATTACTGAAATCCTTGCTAGATTACAGTAAGCCTATTTTATACATTATCAGATTGTTCTGTGTAAAGGTAGATTATTCCAAATTTGTTGCATACAAATTTTCAAACCCTAAAGGATGATATACAGTAATTTTTGTAATCCAGTATAGCTGTCACCCAGAGCAAAAGAGCAAAATATTATCATCGGAACACTAAACCTGTTTCTCTGTGGCCCTGGGCATTTAATAATCATGAAAAAAATTGCTAATAAAAAATAAAATGAAAGAAGGGAAACATGAAATTCATGATCTTAAATAAAAGCTGGACACAGGAGATTCAGTTTGTTGTTACCAGACTATTTAGAGCAGGCTGAAAAGGCATGTACTAAGGGTACATTAAGGATAAATTATTTTTTCTTCTGCCTCCTCTTCCTTTTCTTCTCTTTCTTAACCCCTTAACGCCAGGTGACGCCGATCGGCGTGAAAACAAACCGCTCGAAAGCTGGCGTGCGGCTTTACGACGTAGCGGCGCGCCAAAGCGCGGTGAGCCAGTGATTCAGGCTGATGTCCCCTACTCACACGCTCAAAGTCAGCTCGCCGCCTTTGTTTGCTAGAGCGTAGAGTTATTGTTGTTGATGTTGTTGTTGTTGTTTTTTTGTTTGTTTTTTTTGTACACCCGGCGCCATTGGGTTAAGATCTATATTAGTTGACTTTATTAGACTATGGAAGATATTTATTTCTGACATTATAAAGTTTTGGAAATAGTATGCTCATCAGGGACAATGAGTGAATGGGTAGATTAATTCTGAAGTATGGGTATAATTGGTATAATGCAGTGGCAGTCCAGTGCTACAATATTCTTCCCAGAGGCCAGCATAAGTCCTACACGGATATTGCCAAGATTAGCTTCTTTAGACATGACCTTCCCCATGAAGTTCTCAACCTGGTCATGACTGTTCAAATTGCACTGTTCAGCCATGCATGTGTGCCAATTCTGGTGGCTCCCATAATGTATTTTATAGGAGCTGCCCTGCCTACAAGCTCAAATATGAGGTAGCAGTTCTCAGATTCAAACTAGGCATCACTCTGCAAAAGGCCATACAAGAAGCACACCGACAAGGTTTTTCTCTTTCTACCTTTTCCAAAACTGTACTTTGCTCTTCTCCTCTCCCATCTCAAGAAGTCTCAGCATCTTCCCCAGTATTTCTTTCCTCTACCCCAACCACCCTATCTCTACTACCTCTCTCTCCCCCAGTCAAATACCTTTTCCAGTCTAAATCCAGATACTCCAATCTCTACCACTTCCCCAGTGCATACCCCTCCCCCTTCTCACTCTATCTGTCGCACAAAACAATCTAAACGTTCCACTCCATCTTCTAGCACTTCCTCTCCTACACCCACCTCTTCCTCTGCTCCTCAGACATCTATTCCCTCTTCTCCTCCACATAAGAAAACCTTTGTCTCTCAAACCTCCTCACTGAATGACCCTCCAGAAACTCCTGAAGCCATCCAAAGGTCCATAAACATGACTCAAGAGAATGATCCACTCCCTAATCCATCCTCTGATCCCTTTATTCCTATTTGCTCTACATTCAAAGTTTCTGCAAATATCTATCCTCCTCCTCCATGTACATCACCATTCCCTCTTCCTTCCCCATTATCCTTACCACTCCCACCTAGATGCTCACATGACTCCCTTATGTCACAACTATGTCCTCCAGATTCCTCCCATCCTTCCCAATACTTCACCTCCTTCCCCTGTTCCCTTACTACATTCTCTGGATTCTTCTCCTACTTCTACAACTATCTTTTCATTGCATATTTCCCTTTGATTGTTTCATAATAACTCTTTTGCAGTTTTCCTCATACAGTGTTACTCTCCTCTCCATATACACCTGCTCTCCATTTGATCTGATTGCCTAAACCTTTAACCTCATCCTGTTTTTACAAATCCACTCTGTATTCCATTTGCTCCCCCTCTATACCTTTTTCACTATCATTCTATCCTAAAACGTTCTACAATCTTTGATATCGAACATATTTTATCCTGATTGTTTAACTCAAACTTTGGATACATGTATACTTTCTTACATAATACAGAAAATTGTTATCTGAAAGTTGATTTTTTGTTAGTTATTGCACAACACAAGGTTTGTCATGGTGTTGTTTTTTAATTTTGTCCAGATTATTAACCCATTTAGCACAGGTGGCAAGACTGCAGTGCCATGCCCACTGTAATAAAAGTTTATCTATTGTCTTTACACATAGATGACTCTACAAGTGCTTAGTCACTGAGGAATCAGCTATTAGTCTTGCCTATCTCACCTGTTTACCCTTTTCCTTGATTTTTGAAAGCTTATTTCTTATTATTTTATTGTCTTTGATGTTATTAATATTTTAAGTCATAATATCAGTAAGAAAGATAGCAATCTCAATATTAATAGTATATTTAAGGAATGGGGAAGTCAGGCAGGTTCACTAAGGCCAACTGATAGACTCCTTGATGGCTGAGCACACGTTGAGCCATCTGTATGTAACTCACAAAAATCTAAAGGGGATAGTACATAAACTCATAGACATTAAGGAAGCTGTGTTTTTAATTTCCTTTTATTTGTGACATGTTTTAAGCAGAAACATGTCACATAACAATGAATTGCCCATATATATATCTAATTGTCATTTTTACCGTAATTAGAGTGGTAGTTGTAATTGAGTAATGTACTTTCTTTTAGGGGTGGAGGACCTCATAGGTCACCTTGCAATGTCACTTCGTGAAATGGTGATATTTATGAAGTTATTACTGGTATTTCCAATATTTTCCAGAAGATACCAATAAACCAAGGCACAGAGTCTTGTATATTAGTTGGAATGATGATTATATTGAATCCCTGCTGACATCACTTGCTCTTTCACAGATCTAGCAGTGTGACATCTTTGGTTGTAAGAATACCCCTGAAGCAGTGAATAATGAAGCCATCTGGAGGACGACCGCAGCCTTATCTTTGCTTATGTTGTGGCAAAGCATTTGCAAAAAACAGTGATCTAAAGAGGCATACAATGATTCACACTGGGGAGAGACCTTTTGTCTGTGAAACTTGTGGTCTTGGTTTTATTGAAAATGCAAAACTTATTGTTCATATGCGGCATCATACAGGTGAAAGGCCATTTGAGTGTAAAGAATGTGGCAAAAGCTTCATAAAAAAGAGTGATTTGAAGAACCATAGTAAAACCCATTCTGGGGAGAGAAACTTCATATGTGGTGAATGTGGAAAAGGTTTCCTCAAGAACAGTGATCTGAAAAGACATACACGCTTACATACGGGATATAAACCTTTTGTATGTATTGTGTGTAACTTGAGTTTTTCAGAGAGTGGGAAGTTAAGGAAACATTTAATGGTCCACACTGGAGAAAAGCCAGTTGAGTGCGAGGACTGTGGTAAGAGGTTCACACAAAACTCAGATCTTCGAAGACATATGAGAGTGCATACAGGAGAGAGACCATATCATTGCTTGCTTTGCAATCAAAATTTTAGTCAGAGTCATACATACAAGGAGCATATGAAGCAGCATGTGGCTGTGGAGATGACTGAACCAGAACAAGAGGATGGGTTTGATGATTCTAACCAGATTATGCCCTCAGTGAACTTGATACTAAGCCAGGTAAATGATGCATTACAAAGTCATGGCGATAATGCATTACAGGGGCATGAGGCTGCCTTATTGCAGGCAGAGGGCAAGCCTGGTACATCTGATTGTTCTATGGATAAAGATAATGATGGTGGTGGAGCAATTGTACTAAACCCTAAGACAGAATTAGCTGAGGAAGAAATGCTTAGCTATCTAGGAGAAGCGGGTCTTGGGGATGTGACAGCTGCTGCAACCTCAGGTGTGCCAGTTTATGTTAAACAAGAAGGGGTGTAATGAAGACAGGTTAGAATGTATTATTTACAAGTGTAAACTGTGTGATAAATAAACACCTTTACTTCAATCTACATGAGAAAAATATTTGTTATTGATATGCACTGTATGTTCGTGTACCTGTTATGAGCAGTAAAGTGTCATTTGAAGTATTTTAGGCTTATATATCAACACTGATGCTAATATGAAGACCTATGAAGGGATTATATATGTATGTGTGTGTGTGTGAGTGTGTGTGGATAGATGTACTTATTTCAGGTGATAATGATTTTGCAGAACTTGTACGAGTTGAGAGTTCTCGCACACTATGAGAAATAGTGGTGATAAGAGTAGTATTCTACCAGAGCACATCTTGCATTTGTATAAAAGTATTGGCACAGAATCTGTAATATTAATCTAGATTTCCAGAAGGCCTGGTGAATATTTTGTTCCTCTCCTTTATTGTGTACCACGTATAGAGATTTTTTTCAGACAGTTAAAAGATTAGTGCAGAGGTTACAAGTAATAGCTTATAGGAGTTTATCACTGGGTCAGACATGAAAGATTTGTTAGTTATATGTCAGGCATATTGTGTTTTTTAAGTCATCTTCAGTTCTAAGAATTAGAATTACAATTCCAAAGAAAATGGATTTGTCATTTGACTTTGATTTCAAAACAGATTTTACTGAAAGATTATGTAATATGTATAGTCTAAAACAAATATCCTACAAGGATGCATATAGAAGAAGATTGACAGATATTCAGTGTCATTCAGGACCTTAATGTAATTTTGAATCATGTTTCACATACAGATACTTTGTGTTAAAAAAATGAATAACCTAGTATTTGGAAACAAGCCCACATATACAATAGAAAATTTACATTAGATCATCATCTCATACTGTTACATGCCTCAGTTACTTCATTACTTTTTTTCTTGTATTTGTGTACAAACTGTATATGAGTGTGTATGTGAATTAAATAAGGTAACTGGAGTTTAGCATCAGGTAACAGATCAAGCACTGTTGGGCAGAACATATGCTGGGGGAGAGATCAAATGCTTCTTCCGTCCTTCTTCTAAGGGACGGGATGATGGACTGTTCATTGTTTGATTTTGGTTGCTAGGTAGTGAATTCGGATGTTCTCAAAGTACTTTAACAGATGTTACTAAATTTCAATTCTTTATGAAGCATGTATATTGTAAGGCAACAGAAAGGCTTTACTCTTTATTCCTCTTTATTTATCAGGACTTAAAAGGAAGTTGCAATTGTTAGCTTGAAGGTGAATCTAGTTTAGATTTCATTCTGTAAATACATAAAGTTAGTTGTACATACAGTA